TGTTTAATGGGTTAAACATGCATCTTGGGTGAAAGGATATAAATAAGGGGTCACTATAGTGTGTTCTGCATCTGTATAGAAATACAACCTTAGGTTAACTTTCTACCTCTTTTTCTCTGGGGCCCTGGTGAGAGAACACCTTAACTGTATTGTTGGGAAGGATTGCTTTGAGTTAAAGAGAGGCACACCTTGCTATGCATACCTATGCTTTTAAACTAGGATTTTTGTAACCTTTTCTTCTGACACAGAAAACTGTTTCCTCGACTTGATGGGTAGCACAATGTATTGATATGCAGTTAAGGCTCCACTGGACACAAAAAGACCAAGGCAAATACAGTTGACCCTTTGCACAATATGGGTTTGAACTGCAGGGGTCCACTTAGGGGCAGGTGTTTTCCAATATCTACAGCCGGCCCTGGGCCCCTGGGCCACCTGGGTTTCACACCTGTGGATTCAATCAATCTCAGGTGGAAAATGGTACCACTGATCCTTGATATATGCAGGGTTAGGGGTATAGACCCCCATGTGATCAAAAATTCATATGTAACTTTACTCCCCTAAAACTTGGTTATTCCTAGGTATCCACAGAGGATTCGTTCCAGGACCCAGATCCATAGATGCTCACGTGCTCCACATAAAAAAGCCTAGATCAGTGCACATAGTTAGCCCTCTGCACCCACAGACTACCAGCTGTGGGTGGAAAGCAGCACAGGTATAAGTGGACCTGCACAATTCAAACCTGTATTATTCTAGGGTCAACGATAATTCCTCAGGCTCATCCCTCTGTATGAATTGCTGCACAGTGAGAAAATATGTGATGGGATCACAGAACAAACACTGAGAATGAATTATTGTTACCTTGAAGTTCATGAAGAAATTGTAAGAGTTCCCAAATGTTTGCTAGTTGATATAGCTCAGGTAAAACTTTTTAAAAGCATACTCTTCCCCATCCTCCTTTCTCCTCACCCCTACCCACCCTCTGTCAGAAGATATTTAGAGAAGGTGTAATTTACTCTGGGGATGATAAAAGAAAACATCTAAGGGGAATGCCAGCCTTGCTGAAACTCCCAATTTCTTTAATCTACCTTTATGTTTTATTGTCAAATATATCATATTTTGAAAAATCTTTGGAATTGAGAAACAGCATTGTCTGAAAACTCTTTGCTTACTCCCAAATCATGAACAGATGGTATTGCTTCTATATTTGATTTCTCAGTTGTCTTTGGCTAATATGTAGAACACAAGTGATTTTTGTGATTGACCTTGATCCTATGACCTTGCTAATTGTTCTTAATAAGTCTTATAGTTTTAACAATAGATTCCCTACTTAGGATTTTCTTTACATAATCATATAGTCATATTGTCTGCAAATTAAACAGCATTATTTCATCCTTTCAATTTTTTTTTGTCCTTTTTCTTAACTTACTACATTGGCTAGGATCTGCTGTACAGTGGTGAATAGAAATAGCAAAAGCAGATACCTTTTCCTTATCTGTGATCTCAGGGCAGGTTTTCTCAAGAGTAGCTTTATTGAAATTTAGGGCAAGATAATTCTTTGTTTAGCAGGATCTTGTGTGCAGGGTAACATGTTTAGCTGCATCCCTGGCTTCTCACATACTAGAGGCCAAGAGCATCCTCTCCCTCCCCAGTGATGACAACCAAACAAGTCTCCAGACATCACCAAATATCTCCTGGGGAACAAAATCATCCCCCATTTGAGAACCACTGTTGGAAAGAAAATGTTCAATATATCAGCATTAAGCATGATATTAACTATAAGAATTCTATTTTCAAATTTCTACTATGGAAAATTTCAAGCACAGAGAATATTACATTGAACACTGGTATATCCACCACCATTCCACCATAAATATTTTACTGCCTCTGGTCTGGTGCATAATCTACCCATCTATCGATCTTTCCCTCTATTCCTCAATCTATTTTATTTTTAAACACATTTCAAAATAAATTATAGACACCAGTACACTGCTTTCTAAATATTTCAGTATGTATATTAACCTAAATGGTAATATTTATATATTATTACATATTTTTTTCTTTTTAGGCAACATTTACATATAATAAAATGCAGAAATCTTAAGCAAACATTCAAGGAATTTTGACAAGTGCATACATCTATGTAACCCAAACCTTTATCAAAATATAAAGTACCCTAGCTGGTGTGGCTCAGTTAGTTGGAGCATTATCCCATAACTGAAAGGTTGCAGATTCCATTCCCCATGGGGCATGTACCTAGGTTGTGGGTTCGATCCCCAGCTGGGGCACATATGTCCCTGGTCCAGGTGGGTATGGGAGGCAACCAATTGATGTTTCTCTCTCACACTAATGTTTCTCTCTCCCCTTCCTCTCTCTCTAAAAAAGCAATGAAAAACTGTCCTCAGGTGAGGATAAAAAATATATATATATAATTATATAACAATATTGTCCCATAGAAATATAATGCAAAGCACATAAGCCACATGTTCAATATAATTCAGAATTTCTATTAGTCACATTAAAAAATAAAATGAAACTACTGAAATTTACTAGTATATTAAGTAAATTATGTAAAATATTACTAATGAGATATTTTATATATTTTTTTCCTACTAAGTCTTCAAAATCTGGTGCATATTTTATACCTAGAATACAGCTTGATGAAGACTAGTTACATAGCGCTCAATAGGCCCACGGGGCCAGTAGTCCTGTCTTGGACAGCACAGGTATAGAACATTTCCATTCCACAGAAAAGCTCCTCATGCCACCTCCAATCTCCATACCCACCTCCTTGGGGGCAAGCATTCTATCCTCCCTCCATCATTATTCAGCATCGCCTATGTTAAAAGTTCATGTAAACAGAATTGACAGTGTGTAGTCTTTTGTGTCTGGCTCCATTCACTCAGCATGCTGATTCTGAGATTCAAGTGTGCTGTTACCTATTATCAGTTTATTCCTTTTGACTACTGAGTAATGTCACCCTCCATCCCACAGTTTACTTATTTTTTTATTGATGGATACCTGTGATGTTCTCAGTTTTTGGATATTATAAATAAAACTGCTGTGTACATCCTTATACAAGTGTTTCGTGCAGGAATATATTTCCTTTGGGGTAAAGGTCTAGAATTGCTTTGTCATAGGAAAGTTGTGTGATGAGTTTGATAAGAAACTGCTAACCCTTTTCCAAAGTGGCCTTTTCCATTTTATGTTCCTATCAACAATTATAAATTCTGATTCATCCACACTCAGAATAATCAGTCAATTTTAACTGCTTTAGTTTATTTGTAATGGTATTTCATTGTGGTTTTAATTTGCATTTCCCTAATGGCACAGTGTTAATAAGCATTGGTCATTTGTGCATCTTCTTTCCTGAAATGTCCACGTCTTATGTCCATCTTAAAGGTTGGGTTGCCGTTTTAATCAGTGGGTTCCTTATATATCCTAAATTTCAGTCTTTTGTCAAATGTGAATTACAAATATATTTTTCCTAATCTGTGGTTTGCTATTTGATTTTTTTTCTTTGTAATCCTCACTCGAGGATATGTTTATTGATTGTAGAGAGAAAGGAAGGGAGACAGACTGAGAGAGAAACAATTGGTTGCCCCCAGTACGAGTCCTGACTGGGGTTGCAACTGGCTTAGAGGTCAGTGCTCTAGCTAACTTAGCCACCTGGCTAGGCAGTTTTAAAGTTTGTTGAAGTCTAATTTATTAGTTTCTTTTATAAGCATTGCTTTCTGTTTTTAAGAAATCAGTGCCCATTCTTGAGTCACAAAGCTATTATCTTTTATTTTTCTTCTAAAGGCCTCATTGTTTTAGGTTTTATAATTAGCTTTATGATTCATTTTGAATGATTTTTGTGTATACTGTGAGGGGGTCAACTTTTATTTTTTTCCATATGGATATTTAATCATTCTTGTACAATCTGTTGAAAGTTCCCTTTTCCCATAGGGTTGCTTTGGCACTTGTGCTGAAAATCAGATGACCATGAGTGGGCTGGCCATTTTGCTCTTTGCCCTATTTTGTCCCACTGATGTAGATGTCAATCTCTATTCTGTATCATACTGTCTTAAGAGCTGCAAGTTTATGGTAGGTCTTGAAACTGCTCATTCTAATCAACTTTGTTCTTTTTTGTAAGATTACTTGAGGTATTCTACGTTCTTTATACTTCCATGTAACTTTTATAATTTGTCCATTTCTATCTAAAAAAGCCCACTGGTATTATGACTGGAACAGCATTGAATCTATAGAGTTCTGGAGAACCGACATCTTGCAAGTTCTCTTCAATCCACCACTTGTTATTCAAAAATACGGGGTACACACACACACACACACACACACACACATTTAGCTATTCTTTAATTTCTACTATTTGTAGTTTTTAGCAAACATGTTTTGCATACATTTTATTAAATGTATTCAAATATGTTTCTTGGTGCTATAGTGAGTGGAAGTTAAAATTTTATTTTCTAATTCTTTGTTACTAATAAATTTATTTTTATATGTCTTATATGCCATGATCTTACAAATTATATTATTTAATAGTTGAAGATACTGTAGGCTTTTCTGTATCATATCATATGCAAACACAGGCCATTTTATTTTTTATATCTTTTTATTTTTCTTGCCTTTTGCACAGATATATGGTTAAATGTTGAGTTTTCTAAAAAACCATAAATGGGTTTTGAATTTTGTCAAATATCTTTTCTATATTGAAAATTTTTTTAAAGCGCCTATTAAAAACCTGTCCACACAAAGCACCAACTCAAACACATTTAGGAAATAGTGTTTGCTTATTCAGTCTATCTCCTACTCACAACCATCCACCATGGCCATAGTGCCACATGGCTTCTGTGCAAGCCCACCACCTGGCTAGTAAGTGACAAAGACTTACAGGTCTCACACACAAACCTTCCAATTCTCAAGCTCCTGTTCTTTCATTAGCACCATGGTGGACTTAGGAGTAGTTAAATATAAGAATTCTCGTGACAGTGATTTCAGTTTGTTTATCTTTATTGTTATGAATAAAATGCAACATCCATATTATAGTTCACAATGAAAGATGATAGGATTGGCCGGAGAACATATATGCATGACACACAGACAACAGTGTGGCGATGGTCAGAGGGAAGGAGGGGCAGGGGCTGTGTGGAGGTGGGCAAAGGTAGGGGGGAAATAGGGATGTCTGTAATAGTGGCAACAATAAAATAAAGTTAAAAACAATCATTACTAAGTTTTAAGATGAGAGACAACATAAAACATTGACATTCCTCTCATGACATTATGATTTTTTCAGTCAAGTCACATAGTTTTAGAAAATAGTTGGAAAATGCCTGAAAGAAAGCATGCAATTTTCAAATTAAGGGACATGTATAAAACTATTGAGAGTGCTTGAAACATTCTAATCCATGTCACATAATTTTTATTAAGTGACATATTTATGGAAAAGTGTTGAAAATGCCAGTCAGAAACTAGGAACTATTCAATCCCATAACATACATTCTTTTCAGGCATGTAATACATTCGTGAACAACAGTTAAAATATGCTCGATAGAAAGAAGGGTCATGTTTATCTCATACTACCTTTCAGTCAAGGGCAATAGAGGACAAGCAGTCGGAAAATGCCTGCAAGGAGAGAGGAATGTGAACTCCTGCACTGAAGACCCACGTGTCAGTGCGGTCAACACCTGGGACGACGACTACAGGACACAATGTCTCCACGTACACCACAGGTCACATTCCAGAGTGTTTTTGGCTTTAAAGCTTTTGCTAAAAACACTTTTCATTATCAAATGTATGTTATTAAATGTACACTGAAAGCTAACCGAAGTGAAAACTAGTAAGACTTAGGGACAGTTTGTAACACAAATTATTAAAGTCCATCAACTCTTTTTCCCAAGAAAGGCAAGTGAGGTAGTTATATTGTGTGTACATTATAAAGAGATCAATATTCCAGTTTGTTTGAAGATCATTCACTCCAAGAATTGTATCCCCAAATGAGCTGCTTAACAAAGGGATTCCTTTTTGCAGAATAGAGGAAAAAATGAGCCACTTCTAGGGTTTCTTCTTTTTTTTATGAATAGGTGTTCCTAACAGGTTAGTTTTCTTTAGTACTCTCCTGGATATTACTTTCCTAACTATATACCAAGGGCACTTGGGATGAGGTGGGGTGGGAAGCTATTAACAATAGAATTTAGAAGCCCAGTATCTGACTCTGTTTTTACTTGCAAATATACTATGCAATTTTACAGATTCCTATAACTATTTTAAAACAACTCTTGATAAGGCAGGTAGTTTTTAATACTTAGGTGGCAGGCATTTTTGAATGTTAAATTTAGGGATTTGTTTATTCTTTAAGTAAAAAGAACCTGTTTACCCACATAAAAATTAGTCTGTGTATCTGCTGGCAATTCTCCCTGAATCAGTTAGTTAACCCTAAGACTAAGAATAATGGCTATCATGGGATAATGGCATTGGCATGGACAAGGCCTTCCATATTATATATTTATTTGAAAGTTGTCACACTTCCTTGACTATGTTAAAGTGAGTAATTTAAAGTCATTGGCTCAGCTAAGTCATTGATATCTGAAAGCACACAGAAGCAGTTAAGAAATTCAGAAACTTACTGCTTTTATCTGTCATCGGTTAGCCATTTATTTAGAACCAATGACAAGTGAAGTAAATCTTGAAATCTTTAGAACTCATATAGATTCTAATATGTTCTCAGTCAAAATAAATGAAAATTCCTAAGGAAAAAATGAATAGATTAATGAATTTTCTATATAAACACAACAGAATTTATTCAAAATGGTAAGAAATACAATGAGATAAATCAATCGTTTTCATATATTCATAGAAGTGTAAGGTAGCTAATTTGAAGAATTTCTTCTGTGTGTGTAGGCATATATTACTGCCATCTTATGTCCATAAAGTGAAATGTTTACTCTTGTTGTTTGAATTGCACAGATGATACAAGCATTTTTTCAGACTCTTGAAGTTTATTATGTAAACTCACATGCCATCAATTACCCATATATTGATAAGTAATAAAATGTAAATCTGAATGTAACAGAACATGTTTATTTTCTAGTGTGTTTTCAGGAAAAGGAAATGAAAATTCTCAAATAAATAAAATGAATAGATATTTGAGTTTTCTATAAAAATATAACAAAACCCTAATGACCATAAACAGAATTACCTACAAGTTGAATATAAGTAATGTTTTTATAGACGTCAAGGCAAAATGCAGTATATAAAATTGTTCTTCTATATATGGGCTTAAATTATTATAACATTTTAAGACTTGGTAATATTTAATGTTTTCTGCAACTGTGAGCAACTTTGTCTCTCCTTTGAACTGCAAGAGTCACTTGCGTGTTAAATCTCATTAAAACTGATATAAAGTCATCAAAATACCAATCTGTGGATTCTAATCCAAAGCCTGTGGGACAGATGAGACTGCTGCTGCATTTCTAGCTAACCCTAATGACTATCTCTGCATTCTCAAGATAAGAGGCAGAGCTGTCTGACCCCCTCAGCACATTTTAGATTTGCTCTGTTGGAATCACAGGGGATTGTGTGTTCTTGCAGGTCTAGAAAAGAGTTCCACAGGATATTGATAGTGAGACAGTTTCTGCTCACAAAATATGCACCTGACTTTAACACTTGATGCTAATCCACAGTGCTTGGCCATGACTATTACTGACAAACAGAAACAGAACCTGCTTTTACAGAATATGAAATCTGAAATATAACAGTATTTTTCAGCACTCTTGGATAAAGGCAGTCTGTGTTTTTAAAATAGAGCTGCAGAAGTGACTATCTACAGTTGTAAAATATAAAAAATGATATGTTCAATCAGAAAAAGAAATCAGTGCCTGGCACATGGAAAGTTCTTCACTGAGCACCATAATCATGATGAAAATAATAGATGCTCTGTGACTTCTGGCTACACAGGTTATGAAAACAAAAGAATACCCTTTGTCGAACTAAGCTTGCCTAGGGTCCCCATATTCACAAGGGAACAACCTTTAAAATATCAATTTTCAACAGTCTATCAAAAAGAAATGTTTGTTTGCACCAGAATGCTCATTGTCACGATACAGTACAACATACGTAACAATACAGTGTTTTTAAACAAAAAGTTCTTTCTTCTCCAATTCAGGAGTAAGTCAGAGCATAAATATTGTATGTGTAACTTTAGAAACTGATTCCCTTTGGAAAGTAGATTTGAATAATTTTTCAGAGTGGCAGTTACTGATATTTCTGGCATTCTTGCTCAAAAAGGTCAATATATGTATATAACGTAAGTATAAAAAAGTCTTTTTCTACCTCTTTGTGTTTCGTAGTAGCATTTACTACGTATAGAAGTGTTTCTTATCTCTAGGCATAGAATCAAGTTCATTTCTGCTGTGAAGTCAAAGTACTAGAAATGATTCGGTTCTTGTTCTAGATTGGTCTTTCTTCAGGAAGGACCACAACTTCTCTTCTTCACTCTTATCAAGGAGCCATCATGAGAAAGCTTTAGCTCCAATGGTTAGCCGTATCCCCTTCCATGGTTCACACTGACAATGCCGGGAGATGCCACTTAGGCCAAGGAACACCAAGAGGGTTACAGGAACAAACATGTCAAAAGCAGTCTTTTTTAATCCTACTTAATTTAGAATTTTCTTGGCATATAATTCATACCAGCTGCCATCTTGAATGTACTTCAAAAACTTGGTTGGGGTTTGATCACCCATTCTGCTTGAGGATTGACATGATATACATCCAAAATGTAAGCATCTGGGTCCAAGCAATGCTGTCCTGAAAGAAAGAGAAAATCAGAGCATGTTTATGAGTGAACACTGCTGTGTGCATGTATGTCTGCGCATGTATGTATGTGAGGCTTGAATAAGGCCGGTATAGTCCTCTCAGCCAGGAGTAAATATCATAAGTGCTTTCCTCATTGTTTATAGAGTTGAACATTTTAGTTATTAAATACTTCCAAACCTTTGCTGATCACTTGACAAGCGATCAAAATATATAATGAGAAAAAATTTGGATGGTGAACCTTATAGTGTACTTACACAAATCTAGATGGTATGGCCTACTACTGTAGTTATATGTGCTATACTTTTATAAAACTGGCAGCACATAGGCTTGTTTACACCAGCAGCACCACAAATACATGAGTAATGGTTTTACAGATAGTAACTTGACCAGGAATAGAAAAGTTTAAAAGTTCATTTTAGTTTCTTTTCTATGGCTGCAATGCCCACAGGCAGAAAATATGGAAATAACAAGATCATTCCATGTAGAAAAATTTTATGTACAATGCATTTGAAATTATGTAGTTAAATTCTAAAACAAAACCACCAAGATCTGACTGCTTGCTTGATTCATTCATTTATCGAATATTTATTGAGAGCTATTATGCTCCAGGAACATAATAGGGGCTGGGACTACAGCAACACATCAGTCAAAAATATTTGCCCTCTGTGTGCTTACATTCTAGAAGTTGTAAAGGCAACTATCAAATAAACAGGTAAAATATAAAGCAAGTCTGATAATAAAAAGAGTGTTAGAGAACAACAAAGTTGGGAAGGAATGTAGAGAGTATATAATCCAGGGAGGTCTCATTGAGAAGGTGATACTCTCAAGACCTGAATGAGGCAAGGGAGTGAGAAACGAACTTGTGTGAGTGTTCTGCAGAGGTCCAAGGCAGAATGTGCTCAGTGACTCAATATGAAAGGTTGGTGTTTGAGAGAAAGTCTGGTTATAAACGTGAGAGGCATCAGCATACACATGTATTCAAAGCAATGAGATAAACTGAGCTCCCTAAGGAAGTTAAGTGTAGATATAGAAGAGTTGGAAGGACTGAGCCCCACAGCTCTCCAGTCTTAAGAGGCTGAGAGGATGAGAACAGGCAAAAGAGACTCATGAGGAGTAGCCAGTGTAGTGGGAGGAAAGCCAGAAGCTCAGGTTGTCCTTGAGACCAGGTGAAGAAAGTGTTTTTCAGAGAAGGAAAAGATCAACTCAGGTAGTTATAAAGACAGACTGAATTGTTGGATTTCACAACATAAGAGTTCTCTAGTGACCAAGACAAGAGAGCAATTTTGATGAAGTGTTGAAAGATAAAGCTTGACTGGAGAGGTTTCAAGAGACAACAAGAGGAAGACATTGGAATACAGATGATTGATTCAAGGAGCTAATGCTGTACAGCAGAACAAAAATGGGAGTTGACCTGAAGGGGTCAAGAGAGAATTTTGTAAAGATGAGAGACATTACCAGAATTTTTATGCAGATAGAAATGGTGCAGTTGGGGAGCAGAGCTGATGCTACAAGAGCGAAGGGGGAAGTAACTGGATCGATGTCCTAACTGGGTGGGGGAACATGAAGTGAGACATGAGTGGAGGTACTGGTCTTAAATAGCACAGATGTTTCCTCTGGACTGTGAAGAAGACAAAGCAGAAGATATGGACACAGAAGAAACTAAAGGGAATTTTCCTTGGATTCCCTTTCCCCTCAGGGAAGAATAGACTTGGGCTTCGAGTGAAAACAGGGAGTTAAACAAAAAGGGTGTTGTGATTTTGGAAGTTCCATGATGTTCTTTTCTTTGTCTTTCATGAATCTCCAGAAAGAGATTTTCCAACTTTGAGTCACATTTAGAAGGCCCCAAATCTACTCCATGTCAACTAAAATATTCACATTTAAAATTTGAAAGTATTTTAGGAAAATCATACTGTTCTTACATGAGATTAGAAAATCAGAAACTTCCTGATTTTGAATTTATATATAAAAACATGTAAAATATACTTTTATAGTAATAGCATATTTCTTTTAGAGTAATCAAAGAATCCAGGCAAAAAATTGTTAAAGAATCCTTACCTATATTTCCTCCAATTTCATATAACCTTTGGTTTTGAATTTTAATGCATTCTGAAGAACCATGACTGAAAAAAGGAGAAAGCAATATAATTTTAAGCTTTTCATAACCTGAGGTAAATATGTAGATTAAATAACCATGCAATAAATAATTCATTCTGCCTTGAGTAAAATACATCCCACAAATCATCATTATAATTGAAATTATATAAAAAACAATTTGTTTGTTTGTTTCACACAGATAAGCATCTGAGGCACAGACAGGACAGGAATTTTCCACACCAAGATCGATGCTGTGAGGCTCCACAGCAGCCCGGAGCCCGTTTTATCCACACCCGTCAGCTCTATTTGAGAGGCAACTGCTGCTGACATATGAAGGCTGGCCAAGTAGCAGCTGGATGTTTAATATTGCCTTGTCACTGGTCACAGTACTCTCAGTTCAAAAGAAGTCAGGTTTCATTTCCATATTAGCCAAAAATTAAATGAGATTCTCTCCTTAGCCCGTGTCACATTTCTAGGCTTGCCTAATTAATACTTTGCTAACTGTCTAATACTGATCTCATTGCATGTCTTTACCCTATAACAAAAGCAAGTCAGAGAAGATGAATGCCCAAGTTAATTTTTCTACCCCAGGCTAGAATGAATGCTGCGGTGGAAGAGTCTGGAAAGACCATATCTGATCTCCATCCCACTTCAGGAATGAGTTTCAGCTTGTTTTTTTCAAAAAGATTGTTCTTATTCTCTATTGTGAGAAAGAATATGTACATTCTCTTTTATTTAAAAACTTACTGAAATAATTATAAATTTGCATGTATTTGTAAGAATACAAACAGATCCTGTGTTCCCTTTATCCAGTTTCCTCTAATAGTAAAATCTTTAAATACAAGTGCAATATCACAACCGGGATGCTGATAATGACTCAGTTAATATAGAACATTCCCATCACCCCATGCACCCTCCTTTCCCTTCTACCACTATACCCACCCCTCCCCCATCCCTGTCCACACTCCCATCCTTTATCCCTCTATTCTACATTTCTATAAATTTGTCACTTCAAAATGTTATGTAAATAGAAATATATAGTATGGAACTCCTTTGAATTAGCTTTTTTTCAATTAGCATAAACCCCTGGAGATTCATCCAAGCTGCTGAATTTGTACTGCTGAGTAGCAAAGCATGGTATGGATGTACCATAGATTCTTTAGCCATTTACCTGTTACAGAATATCTGAGCTTTTTCCAGTTTTTGATGATTATAAATAGACCTGCTATAAGCATTTGTGCACTGCATTTTGTGAGAACACAGTCTTAATTTCTTTGGGATAAAACTCAGGAGCGTGAATGCTGGGTTCACATGGTAATTGCATATTTAGTTTTATAAGAAACTTTCAAACAGTTTTACAGAGTGACTGTATCATTTTACATTCCCATCAGCAATGTATGAGTGATCACATTTCTCTATGTCTTTGCCATTATTTTGTGTAGACACTTTTTTTTAGCCATTCTCATAGATGCCTAGTGACAAAAGATACTGAACATTTTCTCATGTGTATATTTGCCATCTGTACATTCTCTGGTAAAACGTTTGTTCATGTCTTTTGCCCATTTTCAGAGTAGATTAAGAAAAAGATTTTATTTATTTATTTATTTTTAGAGAGAGGGGAAGGAAGGAAGAAAGAGAAGGACAAAAACATTTACCAGTTGCTACATGTACCTGCCCCAACAGGGGACTGAACCTACAACCCAGGCATGTGCCCTGACCAGGAGTCAAACCAGCGGCCTTTCTCTGTGCTGGACAATGCCCAACCAGGAACTGAGCCACACAGGTCAGGGGCTAGATCATTTTGTTTGTCTGATTTTTGGTTTTTAGTGTTACATTTTGAGTGTTCTTTATATATTCTATATACTAGGCCTTTGTTTAATATGTGGTTTGTAAATATATCCTTCGAGTCTTTAGCTTGCCTTTTCATTCTTTTTTATGGGATCTTTCAGTGTACATTTTAATTCTGATGAGGTCCAACTTGTAAATTTTTACCTCTTATAGATCTTGGTTTCAATGTTAAGTCTAAGAATATTTCACTAGCCTTATACCACAAAGGTTTTGTCATGAGTAATTGTCTAAAAGTTTTATTTTTTACATTTAACTCTGTAACTCTTTTGGGTTAATTTTTGTGTAAGATGTGAGGTTTATATCAAGGGCCTTTTATTTTTTTTTGGCTCATGGATGTCCAAAATTTTCTTTCTGCAAATGTTCTACATGAGCATATGAGATGACTTTGTAATACCTGTAAGAATCTGATGGATGCCCAAATGCCTCAAATGGGATGTCAAGTCCCTCTATCAGTGCGCATTAGTAACTATTTACAATGTTTTGGGTGTTGGGGCCAGTGGCAGAGAGAAGTAAATGTTTGGGGTTCCTGTTGCCTCTGACTACTCTTCTTTTATTATGTAAGCTTTACATATGTATACAGTATAAAACATATAAAAAGTGCACATACCATGTGACCAGCCCCCATTTCTAGAGAAGGAACTTTGTAGAACTTTCTGTCATGCCTCTGAGTCACTAACCTTTCACCTTCACAGAAAACCACCATACTGGTTTCTAACAGGATAGATTACTTTTATTGGCTACTCCTGTTTTTCTTTTAATTGAACATTTTATTGAGGTAATTGTTGATTTACATGTATTTATAAGAAATAATTCAGAGAGATTATCCTTTGCTCAGTTCTCCCAAGGGGTAAGATTTTACCAAACTTTGGTATAATGTCGCAATCAGGATATTGACATCAATACAATCCATCCATCTTATTCAGATTTATCACTTTAATTGTACTCTGTTGTGTGCGTATTATGTTCAGGGTAATTATGTAGAGGCTCCTTTATCGACCAGCACAGTCCAGGCATCAATGCCAACCCCACAAAGGTGCTTTGTGCTGCCCTTTTATATAACCACACTGATCTCCACCCTCCTTTCAAAATGACACCTCCCAACCGTTGGTATCCATTAATTTATCTTCCATTACTAAAATCTTTTAATTTCAAAAATATTATATAAATGGAGTCTTGCAGTACATAATTTTGTACAACTGGCTTTTATTTTTTGCTCCAAAAAGGACCACAAGGTCCTTTTTGATATGATTTGAAAGCTCCTTTTTAAGGACATCAAAATTTAACTAGAGACCATCAAACTGTACCTGCTTTCTAATGGACAGATTTAAACTAGTGCTTCTCATCTTTTAAAAATCTTAGGGAAAATGTTTTTCCTTGAATAGGCATGCCTAGCCAAAAATGATTATTTATGCTCTTTAAAAGCAATTAATGGCTGACATGCAAAAGAAATTTTTTTGTAAATATCATTCTGATCCCAAAGTTTACTGATAGTACATTTTATATATTTTAAGGAAAGCAACCACTGTGATGTTCACTTAACTACATAAACCTGATCTGACACTGGCAAGTTAAAGCCCATTGGAGCCTGAAATAATGATATTCCTGGAAAGCTATTAAGAGATCTACAAAACTAACTTGCTATAATTTTATTCTAATAAAAGTAAAACTCATTGAGTAAATTAAAACATCAAGACAAAACAGGTTTCCTATTAAGAATCGAGGGTGGGAGGTGGGGATGGCTGGGGTAGGGGGAGTTGTGGGGGGAAAATGAAGACAACTGTACTTGGACAACAGAAAAAAAAAGAATCCCATTAGTAATCTTACACAAAAATCAACTCAAAGTGGATTAAGAGCAAGACCTAAAAGCCATAAAACTCCCAGAAGTAAATGTAAGCAATAAGCTCTTTGACATTGGTATTGGCAATGATTTTTTTTTGATTGACACCAAAATCAAAGGCAATGAATGCAAAAATAAACAAGTGAAACTATGTTTATCAAACTAAAAAGATTTTGCATAGCAAAGGAAGCCATCAAAAAATAAAAAGACAACCCATGTAATTGAAGATTATATTTGCAAATCATATATCTGATAAGAGGTCAATATCCAAAATACATAAAGAACTCAAACAACTCAATAGCAAAAAAGCAATTTAATTAAAAAATGAGCAGAAGGTCTGAACAGACATTTTTCCAAAGAAGACATACAAATAGCCAACAGGTACATGAAAAGATACTCAATGTCAGGGAAATGCAAATCAAAACCACAATGAGATATAACTTCAGACGTGTTAGAATGGCTGTTATTGAAAAGGCACACAAAAAAACTGTTGTCAGTGTTGTGAAGAAAAAAGGACCTCCACACACTGCTGATGGGAATATAAACTGGTTCAGTCACAAGAGAAAGCAGTATGGAGGTGCCTCAAAAAATTAAAAATAAAACTACCATCTGACCCAGCAATTCCACTTTTGGGTATTCATCCAAAGGAAACAAAAACACTAACTTGAAAAGATATATGTATTCTCATGTTCATTTCAGCATCATTTACAATAGCCAAGATATGGAACAACCTAAGTGTTCACTGACAGATAAATGGATAAAGAAAATGTGAAATACATAATGGAATATTATTCAGCCATCAAAAATGGTATCTTGCCATTTGCAATAACATGGATGGAGCTTGAAGGCATTATGCTAAGTGAAATAAGTCATATAGAAAAAAACAAACACCACATGATCTCCTTTAAAGGAGGAATCTAAAAAAAGAACAAAACAAACACAAAAACTAATCTCACAGATACAGAGAAAAGATTGATAGTTGCTAAAGTGAGGAGGTAGGGGAAATGGGTAAAGGGGGTCTAAAGGAACAAACTTCCAGTTAAAAAATAAGTCAGTCATGGTGATATAAAGTACATCATGATGATTACAGTTACTAATACTATATTGCATATTTAAAAGTTGCTAAGAGAGTAGATATTAAAAGTTTTCATTACAAGAAAAAATATTGTAACTATATATGGTGACAAATGTTAACTAGACTTTCTGTGGTGATCATTTTGCAATATATACAAGTATCAAGTTATTAACACCAATTCAGAAGAATTTATGCACCTCCATGTTCATAGCAGCACTATTTATAATAGCCAGGATTTGGAAATAGCTTAAGTGCCCATCAGTAGATGAGTGGATAAAAAAACTGTGGTACATCTACACGATGGAATACTATGCAGAGAAAGAAAGAAGGAATTCCTACTTTTTATGACAGCATGGATGGAATTGGAGACTATTATGCTAAGTGAAATAAGTAATCAGTGAAAGACAAATACTATATGGTCTCACTTATAAGAGGAATCTAATGAACAAAATAATGAGCAAAACAGAATCAGAGGCCTAGAAACATGGAATAGACTGACAGCGGTAAGAGGGGAGGAAGAAGGAAGGGACTGGTTAAAAGAAGGTGGAGGGATTAGCCAAAGAACAAGTATGAAGGACCCATGGACATGGACAACAGTGTGGGTGTTCACTGCAGAAGTGAGGGGTGGGCTGCGTCCAGGGGGACAAAGGGGAAAATTGGAATAACTGTAATAGCATAAACAATAAAATATTTTAAAAAAGCAAATATCGAGTTATTCTGTTGTATACCAGAAATGAGTATGTTATATGTCAATTATACTTCAATTTAAAAAAAGAAAAGAAAGAATCCCACTTGTAGAAATTCCTTTAAAAAATACAAAACTTCTGTTATTGACAATTCTTTCATTTACTAACTTCTTACTGTACGTTTGACTCTTCATCTATTGGTAAAGCCTCTGAAGTAACAGGCTTTAATTTTTCAAAGAGGCCAAATCTGTAAACTCCTGGAAAGTTACTCATCTGATAAAAGTTCATCATCTTTTAGGCAGGCCTTTAGCCTTTCACTCACCTGTTCTCATACTGAAATTTTGCCAGTATGTCTTTGGCTGTAGTTTGGCTATTGAGCTGAATGGCCATGGACACCTTTGAGAGCAGTGGAGCGTGGACTCGAATGACTCCTTCCGGCACGTCAGACTGCCAGTGAGGAAAAATTCAGCACAGTCTGTCAGACTAGGATGCACATCAGTTCAATGACCGCACTTAAGATATATAAAAATTAGTGGCACTCTGAATTAGGAAAACATGTAAACATGACTAGTATTTATTCAGAAGGAAACACTTCTTCCTTTTTTACAGGAGACTCGACAGATCTTAACCTAGGAAATTACTGTCACTACATGCTTAGGTCTCATACAATGCCTTAAAAATTAGGAGAGTAGAACTGGGTTATGACAGAAATCTTATGTGACTATTACTACATTTTCATGAACAATGTTCTAAATAAGCCTACTGTAAGCATAATTCTATATTTCAATATATTTTAAGCATCCTCTTCTGAACCATTCAAGGATCATTATAAAATATGACTTTTTAACTATCCCCTTTCTTTAGCCAGCCCAAAGTTAATCCCAGATGGGCACTTGGAGCTTGAGCCCTCACAGTGCACTGGTGACTCTGTGAAGAGCAGGGTAAGGGTGGCTCCGGGGAAGAGGGTCTCTGCGTTCACACGGCATGACTGGTTTGGAGACTTTCGAGATATTCAAAAACTGTTGCTTTCTAATTAACAGAAATTTGTGTTTTGTCAGGGTCGACTGTAAAATTCCTTTGTTTCAAAATTTTGAGTGTGTTAAACTTTAATTCTCTAACTAGAGATGAACAGATATAAACTGGTATTTGTTTGAGGGCCTGGCCACTCCTCAGGTAATCATTTTAAATCTCTCTATTCTCAAAGGATGGTATTGTTGATGTATGTTTATGTGAACTGCCTCAATATCTACCCTAGAAGGGATATGTTGTGTGTGGCATTGTGTCCCCCGCAAATATATGTGGAAGTCCTTACCCCCAATCCCTGAGAATATGACCTTATTTGGAAATAGGGTCATTGCAGATACAATTAGCTAAGATGAGCTCATGCTGGAATACAGTAAGCCCTTCATCCAATATAACTGGTGTCCTCATAAGAGGAGAAAAGGCATACACAGGGTGAATGCCATAGAAAGACAGAGGCAGCGACTGCAATGCGCTGGCAAGCTAAGGAGTATCAAGAATTGTTGGCATTTCCAAAATCAAGAAACGACATCAACAGCAGGTCCTTCTTTCAAAGCCCTCAAAAGAAACAAACCGACACACTGATTTTGGACTTTTAGCCTCCAGAACTATGAGAGTATGAATTTCTATTGTTTTAAGTCACCCAGTTTGGGCCATTTTGTTATGGCAGCACTAGAAAACTAATACAGAATATTTTAAAGGAGGATCAGTTCTTATAGGATTCTTTTGACCATTCCCAGAAAGAAGCAGGAGAGCAGGGCAGGAAATGCACAGAAGGGATTTCGACCTGGGGTGGGGCAGAGTGCCCCTGGTTCACTGTGCTCCCTGGCTACCATGTGGGGGGCTAATCATTAGGGAGGAAAGGAAATTATTTATTTTCTTACCATTCTTCTTAAAGAGGGTGATTTCTGTAGTACCTTTGAAGTCTTAGGGCTTATAACCTAAATAAAACACATTTAGTTTTTAAGATTAATGTTAGAAAAACAAGCATATGCTGTTGTTGGAAGTATAAAATGGAACAATCTTATGGAAAACATTTTAGACTATTTACCAAGTTATAAAATGTATATGTACTTTGATACAATTCCAAATCTACAAATTTGTTACAAATATACATTTTTTTGAGAAATAACTTACAACAAATTTATTCACTTGCAAAATCTTAATAGCAAAATACTGGATACAGTCTAGGTGTTCAATAATATGGGATGGTTTAAATAAATTATGATGTGTCTATGGAATATCATGCAAAAGAAGCAGAGAAGAAGGCTTTGTGGACCTACGTGGAATAATCACCATGATTTCTTAAGTGAGTAACACGAGATGAAGATAGTGTTTCATATGTGTTATCATTCATGTGAAAAGGGGGAAGGACATTTACCCGTGTTTGCTTGTATGTGCATAGCACTTCTCTGGAAGTATGTACACCTGCAAGTTTGTGAGCCCACACAACCTGTCACAGGTAACATTATTTGTCTCTCCGAGGGGAAGTCAAGGTGGCCAGTTTTTATCCTATAGTCTTTCTTAACCTTTTGAATTTTTTAACCTATTGATGAACTGTCTGTTCCAATCAAAGTTAAGAATTAAAAGCATGGTAGAATAAAATAGAACTGAAGAAATACTGTTTCTTCAACTTTAAGTGTTGCTTTTATGGTACTTATAACTTTTAAATTCTATCTTGATTCTAACTTACAATCAAAACACTGAAATAATTGATATTCATGTGGCATTGTACAATTTACAAAGTGCTTTATACACACAGTACATCAGTTGATGCTAATGAAAACTCTGTGAGATAGATGACATTAATCCCCAACTTTATAATAAAGTTGAAATTCAGATAAAAAGTTTAATTTACTCAGGCTTGTATGGCAAAGCCTGGCCTGACCTCAGTTTCAGCTCTGAGCACATAATTTTGACATTAAAATTTCTCACAGTGAAGAAGGCAGAGTCAGGAGTTCAAAAGTCTGTCCCAACAGAAAAGCAATGAATAAACTGGCAGAAGCTGTCGTTATCAACATTTTCAGAACTCTGGATACTAAACCAAAGTTTGCAGTCAGGGAAATACTTAAGTCACGAAAACAGATGAATCTTGGTAGGGACACAGGCTTTGTGGCTTTTTAACTTACCTTTTCCACATCTCTGTTCCCTAGCTCAGCAATAAATAACCTTGGAAATAATGGCCTGCATTCCTGGCACAGAAACCAGATGATGCAGAAGACCTGACTGGTGGCTCCCTGGAAGACTCGCTCAAAAGGCTTGCCTTTTGCTTGCTTAGCTTAGAACTTGATCAGTGTTAAATTGGTATGATGTTTAAAATCTCTATAGGCAAATGTTTTAGCCACTGCTGCCTGATGCAGTGGGTAAGAATTGGGGTAAACAAGAGACTAACTAAGAAGCTTTGGAGGTAAGCCTAGAGATTAAGATACTTTGAGGAAGAAGGGCTTGGAAAAGCTCCAGTATATTATAAAGAATCCGGAAGGCCAAGTGCATGTCCAGGGCTGTGCATGTGTTCAGAAGAGACCTGAAAAGAACTTAAACTCTCCCCTCTCACTGACATTCAGGCTCTGTCCAAGCAGAAAGTGAAGGTTCAGGCAGAGTTATAAGCTGTCTGACTGAATGTTAAAGATGTGCCCCAACAAACACACAACTCATCTGCAAAGACTTGGAAGTTTTTTTGGTTCCAGCTGTTTAAGAAAATCTCTGTCCAAACATTAGTTAACCACTAAGCTAATGAAAGAGACACTTCAGTAGCCACACAAAATGAAGAATACAGGCTTTATAAAATTAGTTCAGCAGCAAAGTTACTAGACCAAGGAACAATAGCTACTATAGCAGCAACAACAAACCCTGGGAAATGTCCATGCAAAATGTCCATTTTTTAATAAAAAATTATGAGTCAGGCAAGAAAATATGGCCCATATACAGAAAAAATTAGTTTCAATAATTTCAGAAGAAACTCCTTAAAGAAACCTAGACATTATACTAACTAGAAAAAGCTTTCAAATCAGCTATTTTAAATTTGTTTAAAGAACTAATGTAACCCATGACTAAAGAACTAAAAAAAAAGAAAGAAAATGATATCAAATTGGGAATAAACACAGATTAGAAATTATAAAAAGGGATTAAATAGAATTTCTAGAGTTAAAAGTCCTACTGAAATAAAAAATACACTAGATAATTCAATAGCAGATTTAAGGAGTCAAAAGAAAATAATAGCAAATTTGAAGATAGGTTAATTGAGACTATCCAGTTTAAGAAACAGAAAGAAAAAACAATGAAGAAAAGTAAACAGACTTGGAAGAGAAACTGTGGGACAACATCAAGTACACCAACATACACATGATTAGTATCCCAGAAGAAAAAAAGATAAAGGAACTGAAAGAATATTTGAAGTAATAATGAATCAAAATCCCCAAATTTGCTAAAAGACATTGATCTACCTATCCATTAAACTCCAAATAAAATAAACTCACAAAGAGATTCACACCTAAATACATCATAATCAAACTGTTGAAGGATAAAAAGAATGTTGAAAGCAGCAAGAAAAAAGTAATTCATCACAAAAAGCCTCAATAAGATTCACAGCCAATTTCCCAACTGAAACCATGGAATCCAGGAGATAGTGAAATGACATATTCAAAGTGGGGAAAGAAAAAACTGTCAACTAAAATTCTATCTGGCAAAACAATCCTTAAAAAAATGGAGAATTTAAGGCATTCTCAGATAAACAAAAGCTGAGAGAGTTCATTGCTAACAGACTTTCCCCAGGAGAAATGACAGAGAGTCCTTCAGGCTGAAATAAAAGGATAGTAACTCAAATCCACATAAAGAAATAAAGGACATCACTAAAGGTAACTATAGAGGTAAATATAAAAAGCAGTATTAATGTACTCTTTGTTTGTAACTCTACTTTTCCCCAATCTCATTTAAAAGACACATGCACAGAGCTCTTATGATAAACCTATACTGATAAGAACACGATTTTATGAAGACGTAATTCGTGGCAACACCATAAAGTAGGGGCAAGAGAGGTATATAGGTAGAACGTTTTTATATACAATTGAATTTAAGGTGCTATTAATATAAAGTTGATTTTTACAAATTAAGATAGTACTTATAATCCCCAGCACAACCACTAAAGAAATATTAAGATGGCCAAATGTTTTTTCAGTTCTTATGTTAAAAAAGATACCTTTTTTCATTTTCACCAATAACAATTGACCATCTTATTCACCGTTTTGTTCCACTACCTTCTGCCACTGTTCAGGCAACTTCATAATTCCATCTTCCCAAAACTTTTTATCTTTTTTAAGTGAAGAGCTGTTCCAGGTGTCTTTTGCAGTTTTCCAGAGAACTGAAATTTCTTCCACTGAGAGAATTTTGTAAACACTGAAATAACAGAACTTCAAAGGTGCAATGTCGGGTGAATATGGCAGATGAATCAGAACTTCCCAGATAAGCTGTAACAGTTTTTGAGTGGTTATCCAAAAAAAAAAAAAAATTGCAGCCTTGCACTATCCTAATGGAAGATTACGCATTTCTGTTGACTAATTCCAGATGCTTTTTGTGGAATGCTACTCTCAGTTGGTGTAACTGGGACCAGTACTTGCTGGAATTAATCATTTGGTTTTCTTGAGAGGACTTCATAATAAAAGATTCCCTTCAAATCCTACTATATACATGACATCACCTTGTTTGGATAAAGACCAGCCTTTGGCGTGGTTGGTGATGGTTCATTTCACTTGCCCCATGATCTCTTCCATGCAACATTATTGTAACATATCCTCTTTTCATCACCTGTCACAATGTGTTTTAAAAATGGAACATTTTTGTTATGTTTAAGTAGGGAATCTCATGCAGAAATACAGTCAAGAAGATTTTTCTGCTTAACTTACGTGGAAACTAAACATCAAAGCGATTAACATAACCAACGTGGTGCAAATGATTTTCAATGCTTGATTTGGGTATTTTGAGTTGTAGTAGACTGTTCTCTGTGGCATGGGCCCAGCTCCCACTTGGAGATGCACAGGACCCACACCCACAGATAGGTTCTCCCATGGGGAATCAGGCCTGCAATGTACCTAGGCCACTTTGAGTCTTGCTTTTTGCTAAAACTCCCTCTCCCTGAATTGAGGACATTTACTGCAAAGCAACTTCCTAAAATACATGCTAAACCTTCCAAGGATGAGTGTAACTGGTCCAGCTATTTTTGCCTTTTCATTTGTAAATATCCTTCTTCTGTGATATGATTAGCAGCACTGGCTCCTTTGTTTTCTGTAATAGGTAACCACCTAAAGCAAGCTTGTGCATAGTTAATGAGGACCTTCTTGTGATGTGTACAGTAAGACAAGAAAAGCTCATTGGAGCAAGGGTGAAGGCTTTTGCTCCCCTTGAGAGAAAAGCCATGCTGTCCCTTTTCCTCCACTGGATTCGGTAACCCATGTGAATGTCTCATTTCATCTATAATGATGAGGACCCCACGAGCCAGCGTACACATCATTGAGTGTGTCGGCTATCTCCTGCATAGTGTAATGTTGATTGTTCTCAATTAATGTTTCCATTTGATCACTATCAACTTCAACTGGTCTGTCCAACCATGGAGTGTCGTCCAGCAAGAAATTTCCAGCATGAAACTTCACAAACCACTTTTGACACAAATAGTCACAGCACCTTCTCCACACACTGCACAAATCTTCCTTTGTGTTTCAGTTGTGTTTTTACCTTTCTTGAAATAATAAAGCATAATATGCCAAATATATTGCTTATTTTCTTCCATCTTCAATATTAAAATGGCTACACAAAAATTCATCAATTTTGATAAGTTTTTTAAATGCATACTGATATGACAGCTGTCACAATACAATCTAACAAAATTGCTTCAAATGCAATTAAAGACAGCTAAGCGCTACTAAAGCCATCTTACAGGAAAAACAAAACA